ATGCAATTGTTAATGTATATTGTGTATTTAACAAATAAAAAATGAATTTAACCAATTTTTTAAAAACAATACATTTTTCTGGAAAGTACTTAGACTTAGAGTTCAAAGACCTTTTTTGTTACCTGATGACTTAATTATATAAAGGTCTTTTATCTAATCTAATCTAATATAATATAAGATACTGTAACTGTATGATTTCGTAAATATGAGTATAGGTAATAGCAGGGCTGCAAATTACTGTCGGACATCGGACAATGTCCGACTAAATTTGGCAAATGTCCGAGCAAAAGTAATTTTGATCGGACATTGGTACGATCACAAAAAAAAAATTGTCACATACATTTTTTTGCTGTGACAAAATCCGATTGCAAATTCACTCAATTTGCATTTTGCAATAACATTTACGAGGCATTCTAGCATTTTACTTAACGTTACGCCAGAATGGCTATACATACTTGTCTCGTGAATTATATTATATCTTGTGACGTATATATGTCCGACCAAATTTAGTGATGTTGGTTTTTGTCCAACCAAATTCAAGTTATGTCCTATCAAAATTAAAAGTGATCGGTCAAATGTCCTGTCAAGTCAAATATTTATTTGCAGCCCCGTAATAGAATTGTTTCCAGTGCAATTTGGCCTTCAATTTCCGCCTACAAGACGGCCTTCAATTTCCGCCATGTTGGCCATAATAATAGGGCCTTTTACCTGCAGTTATCATTCCAGTTATAATAGAGATCACTGATCCATGCCGACTTGCACCCTGGCCCCCATAATGATTTAATAATGATTTTCGTTCGATTTAGTGAATTTTTCCAGCACAAAATATTTTACGGCGAAAATCAGGTGTTATATACGAAGCAAATTTTCAAAACAGTTTTATAGTTTGTATACATTTTTTGCATCTCGATAATAAAGAACAAATCAGAATAATCGATTTCTGACCGTATCATCCAAAGCAAGTGAGATTTCCAGTCATCTTTGAAATCTCACGCGGTATACGCGCATCGTTTTCACATTCTGTTTAAATTAATTTATACTGCTGAGAAAACCCAGAAGTAAGCTGTATTTAATGACGAAATCATAATGTAAACCACCGATTCATTTTTTTACGTAGGATGCCAAAGACAACTCAGTTCGACATACTCGCACATTTTCTATTGATGGCAGTCGACCTGTGCTGAAATTAATTCCTGCAATGATTTTACTAACTGACGGGCAGACTCTGGTAAGTATAGGGCTTGCATATAGGTATACCGAAAACAGGCGTACTTTTGAGCCACAAACACTGGCTATACGGGATGGCGAAAACAGGTGTACTTCATATAGCCACAAACCTTGGCTATAAGGTATGTCGAAAACAGGCGTACTTTGTAGCCACAAACCGTGGCTGTAAGGTATGCCGAAAACAGGCGTACTTTATATAGCCACAAACCCTGACTATAAGATATACCGAAAACAGGCGTACTTTATATAGCCACAAACCCTGGCTATAAGGTATACCGAAAACAGACATACTTTATAGGTATGCCGGAAACATTGGTATGCCGAAAGCAAGGTATGTCGAAAACAGGCGTACTTTATATAGCCACAAACCCTGACTATAAGATATAACGAAAACAGGCGTACTTTATATAGCCACAAACCCTGGCTATAAGGTATACCGAAAACAGGCATACTTTATTTAGCCACAAACCATGGTTATAAGGTATGCCGAAAACAGGCGTACTTCATATAGCCATAAAGCCTGGCTATAAGGATGCCGAAAACAGGCGTACTTCATATAGCCACGTACCCTGGCTATAAGGTATGCCGAAAACAGGCGTACTTTATAGCCCCAAACTGTGGCTGGAAGGTATACCGAAAACAGGCATGCTGTGTAGCCACAACCCTTTCCATAAAGTATGCCGAGACAGGCCTACTTCATAGCCAGAAACCCTGGTTGTAAGGTATACCCGGCGTACTTTATAGCCATTTTTTCTGGGAACATGTTTAAGGCTGAAAATTTTCTGCAAAAGGTTACAATACGTACAGTGTAGAGGAAAATACCAAGATTTATCGTTTGTGACTATCTTATAGCGTCCTCGTTTGAAGCAATATGTAAGGCATACAAGATAAGCCATGAATATTTTTGTTCCACTGTAATTTAAGGATCGAGTTAGTAGATTAATTAGGCATTAAATCATTTCAATAATCAGGTATTTAGGAGTTTAGATATTCAATCAGTGTAATTTTCAGAATTAGCTATATCGAACATAAAAATACATGTCTGTGAAAATTTCTGCAAAAATATCCAAAAAGGATCTACATGCATACAGGAGTGTTTTATCAGCACTTTTAAAAATAAACGCTGTCTAAACGTTGTCTTTATGTAAATTGACAGTCTTTTTATCACAAAACCACCGACACAGTAGCGATTTCCTTTGTCTTTTCCTTATGAATTATTAATGAGTTTTTAATTTTTGTTATATTTTTATTTTGTTGTCACGTTATAAGCTGCATAAACGCTCTCTTTGTTTTTCAGGGTCGTGTATTATACTTTGTTTCTTTCTTGTTCATCGTGTGTGGACCGGCTTTCGTTAAATACTTCCTCTTGGACAAAACAACAGGTTGATATATCGTCATTAAACGCTACCTAAACGACTGGCTCTCCTATAGCAGTGCCACCACTAAGGGAGGGCGAGGGGGCAACCCCCTCCAAAAAAGTCATGATACTGAACGGATATGCCCTTTTGTACTTGGTTTGGGCAATGGTATACTAGTATATACTATTATAAATACTAATAGTTGCTCGATTTACTAAATAACAGCTCCAAATTATGTAAACCCAGTTATCTAGCCGAGAGTAAATGGATACGCCTTCATAGACTAAGAACTCGAATCGAAGATTGCCAACCTCCACAAAAATAAAATATTTTTTGTATTCATCACATGACAGTTCTACGTGCTCTCATTATTCCCAATGGTCTGAAAGAACTCGCCAAAACCAATGATGTATTTTACCCATTGTTTTTACATGGACTTTACACTGCTATCGGTATGTAAAAAAAATAACTTTTTACTTCTGTTTTCTTTATGGTTGTCCGTGCAATCCCTCATAATTTTCATAGACAACACAAAAATGTCACTAATGTTATTTTTATTACGAGGCAATATATTAAGTTCTTTGTAGGTTTGCATGGCGGTAAAACGTATAATATTATTGTTTGTGGAAACACCACGTAAAAAAATAATAAATGCAGTTAATAAATTTACGTGGTGTTTCCACAAACAATAATATTATAGGCAATATATTTTTTTCAATGTTGGCGTATTTGCGATGAAAAGTGTTCGAAACCTGAAATCTTTTTGGCGTTCCTCTCAAAATTACTTCGTTTTAGCTTTATTTCGTAGTTTACACAGTTAGCAACTTTTTTCCAATCTATCTGGCGGTTGAGAAACACAAAATAGTTAAATATTGTCAATTGAAATACAATTATCATTGATGCTGTGAAATTGACGCCATAACTGCAATACTAGAAAAGCTTTACTGAACTTCAGATATCATTTTCTCTTTGGCGTACCATCTAAAATCTCTTCATTTTAGCATAGTTTTTCAGATAAAGCTCCAAACATGCTTTTTAAGTTTGTTTGCCGCTGGTGAAACATGTCAAAAATTTAAAAATTTGAATATTGTCATAACCAAGTCGAAAAGTATATTCAGTTTTGAGCGCGTGTTACGTAACATACAATTGTAACTGTTCTTTGGAATTTGAAAAGATAATTTTATTTTATTTCTTCGTTAGGTCCTTGGCTAGTTGCTGAACTTACTACAGGTCATATTGGTGTGGTATTTTTACACGGTCTATATCTGAAAGGAAAATGGATCCCTGAGCCCACGGTTTATGCGTATGGTTTATTTCAGGTCAGTTAACAAGGAAGTACTTTATGTAGCCGTACGTAAGTACAGTTGTTTCATTGTGGTCAAATAACTTAATTGGCCGACAACATACTGATACCAAAAACATGCACTTAATTATCTTGAAATTGCTAAAGTAGTTTACGTTTTAGTTTCATTTTAAGGTTTGGAATAGAGTCGCATAGTTTTAAATCAGTGTGAATAGCCTATTATTCCAGAGTGAGAGGTCTATAATAGACAGTTATTTGACCAGCAGCAGTTTTAAATAGAGGAACATCCAATTCGTTACCATTTATTGTATTCCGGCAACTCACTTCATCTCTGGTTTTGAACTGAGACGATAGGCAGATCGGTGCACAATTGTTCATACGTTTGAAAGCCATGCAATAGAGCATTTCGATAATATAGATACGATTTCACGTGCAGGAAACCAGCATAGTTTCTTTAGAATTGTGGTCGAGTTTTCTTGAATTGCTTACTACTCTTGCTGCGAAATTCTGAACTCTTTGAAATCTGGATAGAGGAAGTATTTGACCAAAGAGAAGAACAGTAATATTGCTTGATGAAAACTAAGGCATTATCACAGTTATTAGTAGGTTTTTGCATGCAGTAAACTTATGCTTGGCTCGGTTTATCTAACATAGACATGACTTGCAGGATGATACTGTAGAAAGGATATGATTGTCAAAGGAGGGCATTGAGTCAGACCTAACTAATCCTAGATCTTTGACTGTTTCAGCAGGTTTAAGTTCTTTACTAAGTTGTGAGAGTCTAAATTCATGCTAACATTTGATGGCTAAATAAAGGTGCTTAATAGATGGCTAAATAAAGGGGCTTAAATAAGGGTTTACGATACCAGAATTTCTGATGTTGATATTTACAATTTCTGTTACAGAATTTATTATTTCAATTACCTTCAACTGTGTATCTCGCGTCATACTTGGGTCAGAAGAAATCAGAAACTACTTCATACAGTAATGGCGTCTCAAAGTCTAACCATGCTTTGAAAGACGAGCACAAATGGGGAATATGCTGGCGTATTTGCATGAATTTTATGTTACTTATTACGTTTATACTGCAACTGTATGGCAGCTTATCGTTTTGGCAAGCCTATGGGTTTATGGCATTCGTTTTCTCGCCAGTAAAAACGTGGTCGCTTTTCCTATTGATTTTCTTGGTAAGAAAAGTGAGGAAAATCGTCGCATCGTAACAACGAGAGAGGCAGACCACGCAATAAACGTCTGCTCTCGATTATCTTTTTTGTGTTTTTGGACAATCGATTATTCTTAAACGATAATCGAATCAACAAAACAGCCGTGCATAGCGTGATCAGTGGACTCTATATATATCTGGAGCTTGAACTTTGTCATTCGGCGTATGAGAAAACTGAAGCCAAGATGGCGGCCCGTTGACGCCCAATAGCTCCGAAGGTCATAAACAGTTTTTATACCATTTTACCCAGCTAAATCCAGTTTTTTTCTAACGGACCCTATCGCCAATCAAGTTTTCAGTTCATAAAATCATAATATTAGTCTTTGGATCGTAGTCAAAATACGAGATTTCGGCATACTCCTTGCCACGATGGCGGGATTTGAAGAGCTATAGCATGTCAGTTCCAGTCCTTTTCTATTGTTTTTGTTTGCGCGGTTAACACGAAGCTGGCTTCACTTTTTGGACACGAGCTCTCGCTCCAGATATATATATATATATATATATATATATATATATATATATATATATATATATATATATATATATATATATATATATATATATATATATATATAATAACTCATTGAGCGTGATACTTGCCAGGAAAGCTTACTCAGGGGTTGAAATGACAGGTCGCCAATTGCGATCACATTTTTCGTTTGGCGACCAGATTTTTGCCAGATTGTAGAAAAATTAAAACGATAAAGTAATTCTAAAGCCTTAAAATATCTCAAGGATTTCGTTTTGGTCTTGCATATAATTATACTTGCAAATTTTGCTGCGATTTAAGCCTGGTTCACACTGGTAGTACGAATCGGGGATTGCCATTGTCTGTGGTTATTGGTGTGTAAAATACTTTGTCTGTCGGAAAAGAATACAATAGATCACCGATAAATTACGACCAGTGTGAACCAGGCTTTAAGGTGCGATTTTCTTCTTCCGATTGATGTGATCGAGTGGATGAGTTATGATTGTATAGATGAGGGTACATATACTTAGAACATTCATAACTCATCTACTCGTTCACATACATCAGAAGGAGAAAATCGCATTTGAAATCGCAGCAAAATTTGCAAGTGTAAACGTGCCTTTAAATAACTGAACAAGAAGATTTCGTAACACAAAATTCAATTACCAAAATATGTGTAACTATTTATGCGTTGTTCTCAAACTCAATCTCTAATGAAAACAGAAATAAATTAAATCACGACTGAGAGTACTGCGGAATAATTCGTTCTTCACGAATTTACGATTCTTCACGATCTGATATTCAATATGGCGACCAGATCTTACTCCCTGGTGAATGAACACTTGGGCGACTATTTTTTTTTTACTTTCAACCCTTGAGCTTGCTTTCCTGCATGGTTGAAAAAATTACCATGTTTTTTTTTAAATTTCTGCTACCACTACACTCTCATTGGATATCAGACAAAAATTTGAACACATGTTTCTTCTTGGAAGCGAAATTACAAACTGTGGACGTATCCAGATTTATTCAATACGATTAATGGTTTTAATCAATAGGGCAATTGCTAGACAGTATACTTCAAAATAAGGTTTCCATTTTTATATCAATTTTTAAAATAATTAAAATAAGTTAAGGTTAGGTTAGGGTTTAGGTTAGGGTTAGGTTGGGGTTGGGGTGAGGGTTAGTATTAGTTTTTTCTACGTTATAAAAACGGAAACCTTATTTTGAAGTATACTATCTAGCGATCACCTAATCAATAGAGCGTTCGCACATGACATCATAGCCGCCATGTTGGTGTTCCAATTCAAAAATGAACAAAAGCCATCGTGGCCATGTTGGTGTTCCAGACATATGAGTCTAATTAAAATTCTTTTGAATTGGAACATCAACATGGCGGCCGTGACGTCATGTGCAAACGCTCTACTGTTGGTAACGATTAATCGATTACGATATTGAACCGATGGGAGCAGATCAACCTATGGGGTGTATAACTGCACACTTCGAAAATGTCCGCTAAACTGTAAATTGCGCAAAATTTGTGAACACTTTATGCAACCGTGGATATGGTTTGGGGTCTGCTACTATCTTTACGACTAAAATTACTTTGAAAAGTGCATTTTCGAGTGCACGAGGGTTGTTTTAAAAAACCACTTTAAATATGGCTCATAAATATCTTCACAAGTCCAAGGTCATGTTTCCGAAATTTAGAAGCATTACTGTGATTGGTTGTTTTCAGGAAAGGAATGTTGTGCTCGAGTGAGTCGCTCGTGGGGAGAAACCTCGGCACAAAGACTGGCTGCGAGGTAGACTAAAAAATGGAAAGCTTACAACGCAAATTTGAATTCATAGCGTGAAAATTTGGGAGGTGGTTTATGAAATATCAAAGTGCCATGCAGTCAGCCTGATGCACAATAAGTTGAACTTTTTGCCGTATTAACCGTTCACGCATAATTTATTAAAGGCATGATTGATTTTATGCATGATGGATTTCTTACATACTCTTTGCGAAACGTTTAATCATTGCGTGAAAGGCCACTATGGCAAAAGTGTCCAAGTTTTAGAGGTCGCTCGTTGGACGTGATATGTACATCAAATTGTCTGGTACTTTGATAGTTCATAAAACACCTTCAAAATGTTCACCCTAGGAATTAAGTGTTTTGAATAGCTTCAAACAAAACTACAACAGATGCCGTCTTATTACTATTCTTTATAAAAACGTTCATCCTATAATTAGTATTCTTTATATAAAGAATACTAATTAGGAGTGTTTTATCAGGTTTTAAAGCCACTGCACGTGACATATTGTGGTTGACATGATTTGCCAATAAGTTTATGAATTATTAATGAGTGTTTGAAGTGTTTTTAAAACAACCCTCGTGCATTTGAAAATAATTTTAGTGGTATAAAGATACTAGCAGATCACAAACTACCCATGCGTGCATAAAGTTTTCACAAAATCAATTTTGCGAATATCATTCCAACTGTGAATTTTCTTTGTACATCCTGTATTCTTCACTTGCAATGATGTGGGCGATGGCCATGTTGGTCCCTTTTCAACATCACACAAGCATCTTATTCACCTGAGTAATTACACCAGCACAGCAGATTTCAAAGGAATCTCATTAACATATTTTGAATTTGGCACCAACATGGCCACCGTGCCATTGTCTTCTCATCTCAAGGGATTGATTGCAAGTCAAGAATATGACATGCTATGATCAAGTGTGCATTTTGTGCATGTATTGTTTTTACTGCAATTTTAAGTACTGGACTGCAATTTTAAGTATTTATTATATTTACTATTATAAATTAACTCCTGAGATATGGTTGGTAACTATTCTTTAAAAATTCAATTGTGTTTCAGATAGTATATTGGATTCAAATTATAGGTGAATAAATTGGAAAAATAAAATTTAAAATATTTGGGAACTCAACTCAATTTTTTTTTTGCCATAAAAAAAGAAGAAAATTTACAAATTTGTAATTAGTGGCAGGCAAGGAAGCCCAAGAGAAACCAAAAGGCTTTTGTGTTTTGGGCTAGCTTATATATGACAGTCTGATAATGATTTTTTTGTAGTAGAGAACACTTTCTTCTCCATACAACGTATTGCCATAATATTCTACACACATTTGTGTGGTGATGTTCCAATGTTGAAATTTCCAGACATTCCGATAACCAATTATTATTCAATGCCGATCATAGACGCATTTACGGGGGGAGGGGTGCTCACCGCTGCTATTCCATATTAAGTTTAGATTTCCGCTTTTTCAATTGTGGATATACTTAAGGGACCGGTCATTATTTATGGCGGGGGGTGGCACCGAAGAGAAAAGGGTTGGGTAAACAAAATTTTGAGGGAGTAAAAGGTTGGGTAAATGAAAAACAAAACAACTCAAGGGTTGGGTAATAAAAATTTATTGTCATTTCCCAAGCATGGCTCACTGATTTATTGGAGACCAAAAAAGCACTGTCAACAGTCATATGTCAATACAATATGTGAATCAATCAGTGTCACTATCTTGATCATTTTCCGATTTGTTGGGAGACAAATGGTACTGTCTCCATAGAAAGTACATGTGCAGACAACATAAAACTTTAGACTGCAGAAAATTACACAATCCGTTATCAAATTCATGTCACAGAAGTGGTAAAGGACATGTGTGACAACCGAATGGTATCCGTTTGTGAAGTTTTTGGGCAGGGGTGGGTATTTATTTCTTAATTGTTATTAGAGGTTGGGTAATCAAATTTTCGACTTTTTAATGGTTGGGTCAGCAAAATTTTTGCCACGAAAAACATTTCTCTTCGGTGCCACCCCTCGCCATAAATAATGACCGGTCCCTTAGGATATTTTGTCAGTTGTCAGTAAAAAATTCAGGCAAATGCCTGTAGTCAGTTAACCCCATTCAGACCCTCTATTATTCTACAGCCATTCAATTCAACCCTCCGTCCCAAATATTGACAGGTGTGGCCACCTGCCCGATTATTGAGGCATCTCTGTAATATTGTTGACATGGTCACATAGCGTCCTTGTACTTGTTTCAAAATGGACGCAATTGAAGAGGAAGATTTTGACACAGACAGCAGGCTTAGTTCTGCGAGATTACGACGTTCTTTTCCTCGACATAAATCAGAGAACGAAGGTATGTTTGAGATCAAACAAAATGTGACAAGAACCCTCAAAGATGCCAGGCGAAAATTGAACGATTTACGTTCCGAAGTCGACAGAAAGTAAGCGCGTGTTTTCATGTTGTAAACAAAACTATTTACTTAATTTGATAGCGTTTGGTGATTGGCATTATCTGTATTATTGTAGGATTACGTTAAAGTGTTAAAATTTGGTAAATTATTTAGTGAATTGCTGTTATATCGTAAACGAATTGTATTCATAGTACACGAAGTACTACAAAATCAATAGTGAATTCCAACGTAGCCAAATTGCCCAATTAGAAAATAATTACATTGTATATAAATTGTTCTATCCTACATATGACCAATTTGGATAAATGCAGTTAGGATCCGTTTGCTTTTCTCTTTCCCTTTCGTATTTGTAGTTTTAGTGTGTGTTTATAAATTTTATCTGTAATGTATCCGAAAATCAGCATTGTGATGTAAAATATTATATTACACGCGTAAAAATCATCATGTTGATGCAAGTTGTTCAAAACAGGAGCGAACAATGTTGTGCTGCACCCCGTGAACAATATTGTTAACAAGTTGTTGAACCATCAACATTGTTGCAACTTGTTGACAATCATGTTAACAACTTGCAACAGTACTGATGGTTGAACAACTTGTTAACAATATTGTTCACAGGGTGCAGCACAACATTGTTCACTCCTGTTTTGAACAACGCCGAACAACATGATCAATTTTTACCCGTGTACATTGAGGAATGTCTGTCACAATTCAATTCAAGACTAATTAGGTGCACAGGAAAGTACCATTCATGGTGAATATTAAACATCATGGTTTTTACTAATTTACCATATGGGAAATCTACAATAACCAATAATGGTAGGAGTGCAGTTTTACATTTTACGCCGAAAAACCAAGAAGACTGACTGAAGAATCATATATCGCCATTCATTCACACAATATGTGAGACCTACACATGTGATTGACAAGCGATGAAGCTTGATCAGAAAGCAGATAGCCTGTAGTAGGGTTGGGCAATATTTAAAAAATCATCTCACGATTATTGTCAAGGAAATTATCACGATATTCGATAATATTGCGATAAATGCAATAAAAAGAATGACCACATTTTTTAATTAATATCAAAGCATAGTAAGCTTAGGCCCGGTTTAGACGGCGAACTTCTCATGCGCCGAACCTAATTGTCGTAGATACGGCAAAATATCGGAAACTGATTTAGACGTCGAACTTAATTGTACCGTACCAAATTGCGAAGACATTATATTGGAAATATTTACAATGCAAATATATGATAATCATATTATGATGTTAAAAAATAATTATGCATTAGGTTCGGCGCATGAAAAGCACGGCGTCTAAATCAATGTCGAACCTGTGTCGCATATACGACTTGTCCTGTCGCATCTTCGAGTCGTGTCGAACTTAATCAAAACCTGCCGAACTTAATTGATTTAGACGCCGCTCCAGCGTCGCACTTAATTCTTGCATTAGATTCGGCGCATGAAAAGTTCGCCGTCTAAACCGGGCCTAATATATAATTTTATTAAAAACAAGTACAACAACAAATTAAAGTAATATGAAGGATTTTTCCTGTCTAATATTTGCTGTTCATAATTCTAAACTATAATACTATATCTATGCATGATATTTTCTGTGATGGTATAGTGTACTCAGGTGAATAAGATGCTTGTGATGTTACTCTGTGTGGATACACACTCAGAGTAACATCACAAGCATCATTTTATCTATGCAGTGTCTACTATGTCTTTGCTGGCACAAATGCTGTGAGCCCACAGCACAAGCAAAGCCTACAATTTCATTATTCAGTGGATTAATACATAAATATTAGCATTTGTATTGTATTAAATTTGTATTTAATTCAGAAAATAGTTTTTAATTCTTTTAAAAAGTATATTTTCTGGGAATTGAAGAATTTTTTAGGATTTTATAAAAGCTATATACACATGTGAAGCAATATCACGACAGTTGTTGAGCGATAATTTTGATATATTGTCGCTCAAGTTTCTACTTTCGATACGCTAATTGCGATTGAAAATATTGCAATAAATCAAAATATCAAAATATTGCCCAACCCTAGCCTGTAGCCAATCTTCTTTTCCTTTTGTTTCTTAGTGTTAATTGGCTTCCTTGTTTTAGTTGTGAAGTATTTTGCAGAAACAAGAAAAAACTGTAAAATAGACAGTTTGTTTTTTGCATCTTTTTGGGACCTAAATAGCTTGTAGTACATTGTTCAAGCTACATTGCTCATATATTTTCATAGAGATGACATAATCCGACAAGCCACATCGGAAGATACAGATCGAAGTTTGACAAAGGACTTGCACAAATCGACAAGGTACAGTCCGAGTCGGTCCCTAAACAATTCACTCCGTGATTACAGCAACAACTCCAAAGACGACGAAGAATTATTACATGACGAGGTCAGAGTGCTAGATGGCTTAAACGATCGTCTGATGGAGAAACTTGCAAGAACGGAGTCCAGACTGGAAGCTGCTCGGATGCATAATGATGAAGTCAGTTTGGAAACTGAAGCGAAGATTGCTGCAAAAGGAGCAGGTAGAGGAAGACTGGAAACTAAATTACTGTAAACCTCCAATTATAAGCCCTGGGCTTGTATTTGTTTGTAAGCTTTTTTGATGGGCTGACACATGGGGGGCATAAATATGGGGGAGGGCTTATATACGGTGACATTTGGTGTTGGTAATTATAATATTTATTATACCTGCAAACAATACTGTGAACGAAGGAAATATAAGCATGTAGAATATAACACATAAGGCATATAAAAAAATACCTGTGGTTCCAGTTCCCGAACGACCCTATTTTTTTCTGCCGACCCTATTATTTTTTCAACGCGATTGACCGTACAACCCTATTTTCTCTGGGTGGTTGCGGGCTGCTGCCAAAATGGCATCTGTTGTCACACTAATTATTGGAAAAAAAAACATGAAAAAAATATTCAAAAAAAAAAATTTCCGACCTACCAACCCTAATTTTTTCGCGATATGAAACCAGAACCACAGGTAAATTTTTATGCCTAATAAAACAAGTTGGTTAACATATTGTAATTAACTGTAATGTAATTATTGGCACATGTCTAAACTGTTGAAATCTGTGTCATTGTGTTAATAAATACCATCCAATAATAAGCCTGTGGGCTTATACATGGAAGGGCTTATATTTGGGAGAGTTATATTTGGAATGGCCTGAGCATTAGTGAATACAGTGAGCTTATACAAGGGGGCTTACAGTATATTTGGGAGAGCTATATTCAGATATTTATGGTATTTTAGAAACTTTATTGTCAGTGGTAATAACCCTTAGATGTACTTATGTCATGCAATTTTCAATCTGTCAAAACTTAGGTATATGCAATGTGCAACACATGTGGGTCAAATATTCATTGTCTGATACTCCTGATAGTGACGTGACCTAAGGACTTCTAAGGTCAATTGTCACTTTGTCTTTTGTTCTATAGTCTTAAGTTGAATGAGTCAGTGGCACAGTATATGCTATGATTTTACAACATTACTAGGGTTAGTTCATAGTTATGAAAAATAATGTCCTTTTCTTCAGCTCTTGTGGACAAGATCTACACAGCGCAGAAAGAACGTGATGCAGCGGTGCTGTCCAGATTACGACTCGCAAATGGAGAACGGGATGAGGTTCTGGCGAGGATGAAACGACTGGAGCAAGAACAACAAGGGTGAGTCGAGAGAACTGTACTGTATGTAGGGCTACACTCCAGAACAAGCTCTTGGGGCAGTGACATTTGCTGTGGAAAGAGAACTTTACATCCAGTCTGACTTTTCTGTACAAAATGAAATGTTTTACAATGTGTAGCACTATTTGCCATGCTGTTAGTACTGTAACTTTGTTACAAGTAACGGGATTACAAGTAAATGTTACTTTTTAAAGTAACAATAATTGTAATTAATAGAATCATGCACGTATACTATTGCAAATGCTGTAATTTGATTGGCTACTCTACTCGTTATCTATTCCTCGATAGATATAGTTAGTGGCAAAACAATATATTTTTTTAAATGGCAAGATTTTATGCAATATATTGTGGAATATTTTGAATGTTTGATCTCTGATTCTACTGAAACAATTAGATTACTAGCTCTCGATTTCTATGAGGTGACAGTTGCTTCGGGCTTTGATCGCCCTCATCATCTATCACCTCATAGAAATCAAGAGCGAGTAATCTAATTGTTAACTAGTTACATTTTGGCTTAAAATGGAATGATAAGGCGTTACTTTTTTGACCAAAGTTTACCTTACAATACTTTTTTCGTTACATTTTCACGTTAAAATATAATACTAAATGCTATTTTACAGTACTTTTATTATATAAATGTGGTCAATATTAAACTGATTCATTACATTCAATGTACAATAATTCCCCTGCCTATTTACTGGCTTCCACTTTGGTTATCAGACATATTCCTTACAGTAATTGAATTGACTGTAGCTCTGACCGTAACTAGTTCCAAAAACGTATATAACTAGCTTTTGCAGCACTGACTATCTGCCGTGGGTAATCTGGTAAAAATGTGTATTTTAACCACTTTGAATGCATGTTCCGATGTGTCATTGTTGAAAAATAATTATTAACAATTTTGTAATAGGTTTGACTCAGGTGTGGAAACTGTCTATGATGATGAAGACCATGAACTGGTAAGACTCTAACAAAGTTTATTGATTGCTTTACTTTTGGCCATATATGTCACAATTATAAACTAATGGATATGGATGGGATGTTCTTATCCGTATTTAAATAAACACTTTATTAAATGAACACTTTTTTGTACGACAGAGCATGAAGCAGTTGTTTAAGACGTTAGTTGCATCAGAAACAGGAGCAAGCATTGACAAACATGGCGACCTCATGGTTGCAAAATATAAGAAACATGGTAAATCTAAGCAAATCATGGCTGCTGAAGAAATACAAGCCTTAATCGACGAACGAGACGATGCTATTCGCAAGGTAATGGGTTAGTTGGCTCAGTGGTAAATGGCCCACAATTTTACGGGGGGGGGGGGGTAGGTCCCTGGGTCGCCCTCTGGTTATGTCACTGATTTAATAGAGTCATACTGTTTGACATGTTAGTGGAACTGTTTGCCTTTCATTGAAACACAGGTCCGAGCTCTTGAAAAGGAAGTGGAATCGTTACAACGAGAAAAGGAACTGATAAAACACCAATATAAATTTGCGGAGAAAACTAGAATAAAATCTGGACAAGTATGTATATCAATGACAATATTTATAATTTAGTGGATTTGGTGTGCATGATAATCATTAACCGACAGTTACTACATGCCGTGTTCTTGTATTTGGGGCCAGAAATAATGGGAGCAATTTATTATGAAGACATGAAGTTGATAGCAGGGGTCGTCTCGTACTCCACTCATTTCGTACTTGACTGGCTAGTCGTTTCGTACCCAAACTCTGGTCGTTTCGCACCAACTTTTGAATTCTGGTTGACTGATTAGACTAAAAACACAAAAACGATCAGATATAACTGTGGGTTAAGGGTTTTTTCTATGGATTTACCATTTTACTTATGATAAATTGAAACGAATAAATGTTGTAAAATGCAAAACAAAACTATATTTTCCTAAAAATTATCACACTAGGATATAAAATTAGGTTTGGTTTTTTTTCGTGAAAGAGCAAATCAAATGCATCTTCTCAGTGAGTGGTGACAAAAGCGATTTGTAAAATGCGTTTTTCTATGTAATAGCGACACAAACGTCTGGATACGAACTTAAGGATGAGTACGAATCGGCCAAGGCTGGTAACGAAAACACAGGCGTATAAAATGACCATAAACCGTGTCAAACGTTCTGAAGTTGACCAGCATCTGCTGCCTTGTTGTGCTTTCCAAGACCCATTAATTGGCATCTAGTTTCATCAATATTTATTCCACCATTCCGAATGCATTCCGTTGTATCTCTAGGCGCAATTGATGGCCGCACAACAAGATAAGGATCAATCACAACAAAGAATAACAGAACTAGAAGATGAAATACAAAATTACCGTGTCTATTACAGGTACAATTTCAATATCAAGATTTTGTTGGCATCGCACTCGATTGAATAATAGTTCGGTGCCCCCCCCCATAAATAATGACCGGTCCCTAAGCTAAGCATAAAGTTTGATAACTATTAATGATTCGATTTTGTGTCAGCTTGCACAGGTCACTATCTCAAGAACAGACACTGAGGGATCAATTTAACGCGACCATGGACACGTTTGAATCAAAACTTAACGAGAGGGAGAACGAGCTTGCGCTTGCAGAAAATAACACGAAGGAATTAGTCGCTCGACTTCAAACTTTGTCTCGTGAGAAAGAAGTACTTAGTTCACAATTGACCGAATCCCTCAGTGGGCAGAGGAAGGAAAAAGAGAGAGCTGACAAGTGAGTTTATAATTGAAGTCTCTCCAATGGGGCTTTTCGGAGCCAATTGCATATACAAAAAGTTATAGTTATCCCCGTTGCACCTGTGTGTCCAGCGCATTGTAGAATGCCATAAAAGTCCAATGTGTGCATTAAAAATGGATTTTATTCTCACCGAAATGCAAATATAATTATGCAAACCAAACTATTTAATACCAAAATATTAAATACTCTGCTGCCTTGCATTACCATAGACTTGTATTTAACACTGGGCAAGAAGCTATACTAACATGAAATTCTAACTAATAAATTAATTATACTAAAATGGATTCAAAAATTGCCAAAGGCTAAATGCTACTATGATTTTGATCTGCACACCTCTCCTGAGATCGAGATTTTTTGCGCTGATAAGTCATGCACCTCCCCTTGGGAAAGGTTAGACTTTTTATGTGTTGCTTAGTCGTGTAAACGTAACTTTTCATTTGTAGCTACAGCTATGTATATTTGTGTTTTATCTTTTAGGCTTGAACGACTTGTCTCAGTGCTTCGAAAACGCATTACAAATTCAGGGAACCAAACTCTTTAAAGATAACTTGTACATATTTATTTTATATATTTGTATCAAATATTTTATTTTCCATAACAAAACAGATATTGCATAAAATGAAATGTGTTTTAGTGGCTTAAATACACTACATCATGTATTTATCCCGCATTTTTTTTGCGCAGCATCCATTATTGAATAAATTGCGTCAAATGCAAAAATCCCGTACAGTAAACTTAAATGAAGTATTTCGCAAAATTATTTTTCAAGATGGCGCTCTTGGAAGGGTGGTGAATTGCGAAGTTCTTGAATTTTTGTATAATTTCATTGCTTAGCATTAACGAGATTGCTTCCCTGGCAACTTAAACATGAGTCAAAGCGGTGTACTTATTTTGCAGCCTTCAAAATTCGAACTACGTCGATTCTACGAGCTTGTAAAAATCTGTGCAAAACACGTGCAAAATGTACTTTATATTGACTTCAGTTTTAATGCACAAACTAACTCCGAGGTAGCTTTACAGAAAGGATTTTCTCGCGCAGAAACGTACAAGGTTTTAGAGGGAATTTACAAGTCTAGAGCACAAGAATTAAATAGCCTTGATGTTCGGGTTTTACTTGGAAATGAGTCGCAGAATGCAGTAGAAAAAGGCTTTAGCCAGCGTTTGGATGTGGTATTTCTTGATTCTTCATATAAAAGTGAGCCAAGTATCGTAGAAAGAACGTGCATGAGATATAATTTCAAGAACAAAGATGCTATGCAGTTCTTGGATGGAGTTCTGGAGTCTCCAATTTCTGAAGAGTTGAAACAACCTGCCAAAGAGATGAAGTGTTATGACACAGTTGCTGTCGGAGGAACATTTGATAGGTATATTAATGCTTAACACTTTGTGTGTGTTGGTAGTAAGATTGCATGCTGGATTTCAAACTTGTTCTGTGATATTTGTTCTGTGATTTCAAACTTGTTCTGTGATACTTGTTCTGTGATTTCAAACTTGTTCTGTGAATATCGTTAATTTCACGTCACTTTTCAAAACGAGGTTCCCAATTGGAATATTAGGCGTGGACGTTGCAAAGCCAACTTGGCAAGTTGCTTCCTAAAGCACCAAAGTACTGAACTAAAGTACTGAAGTAGTGATTATGAACTTGTAATTTGCACTGTTTTTCCAATATATAGCCAACAAATTAAATGTATTTCTTAAAAGTTTTAATACATAATTTGTCAAATATGTTGGCCATAATGGTAAAATGCTGCAAGTTACGAGTCTATGTTTAGTACTTCGATACTTTAGTAAGCAACTTGCCAAGTTGGCTTAAAGTTCCATGCCAAATGTTCCAAATTTAGAAACATAATTGGTGATATTGACAACTTGGCAATTGTGCTTTGAAAAGTGATCTGAAATTGACAATAAATATGAGTCCATTTGTATTAATAATTTATTGGAGCATTTCTGCCAAAAAGATATCAATATGACATCTGCGAGCGAGAGGGCTTATAGGCATCATATTGACACCTTTTTCGCAGAAACCTATATTTCACCCTTCCCTAAAAGCTCATTTCCACTCAAGAAAAATTTTCACGGACAGAAAATTGTCTGAAAATGTCATTCATAAAAGTTGAAAATTTTCAACTTCAAATTTTTTTCTCCATGGACAATGAAATTTTTTTGTGTCTGCCAATCACGTTTTACAAAATTTGCTTTCTGCAGAATATTTTCCTGTCAGTAGAAATGGGCCTTAAGTGGATGTAAAGTGAAACTTTATTCATTGCTGTGACCCAGAGGTCATGACCCACTACCAAATTTCTTGAAAGCTTTCATTAAATTGAGGAGTCTAGTGCTGCCACTCGATGCATTAATTGGTTAGCCAATTGAGTGACAGCACTCTCTACTCGATGAGTAAAATCGTCTGGCATTAGACAGAGTAAAATACTAAAGTAGGATGCATCGGGGTGCATTGCCACATAAAGGGTTAAGCAAATTTTCATGCAAAAAGGGGGTAATAATATGGTGGCAACCTAAATCCTCCCCCCCCCC